AGTTAACTTGAGTTAAGGAAGGAATGAGGGAAGCCGATCGTCATATGTCTGTTTTAGTACCATCTTGCTGCTTCTTTCTCATTCTTCTTCTATTTTATTTCAATAATTACAAGCACACGTCCAAAAACTTCAAAATAACAGACAACAATGGATTTCCCTTTAACTTATAAGCAAACAGTGTCCCTCTTAATTTCAACTTCTACGTAATGATATGGCATTAATAATGCATAATGAAGCAGGAAGAAAACTTTTCATCGAAACAAAATTTTATTAAGGCGCAGCGACGCAATTTCTCAGTGAAGCAAAGCATGATGGTCGATGTAGTCCCTGTTTCGAATATACTCAATCGTTCTTCGTTTTTTTTTATTGCAGAAATATTTCACTTTAAAAGGGATCATAAGTTATACCTCTATCAATTAATAATGAACAATTCCATTAAGATACCTCTTTTAGCACGAGGACCACCAAAGGATGGACAAACATCTCCCAATTAAAAAAGCAAATATTGAAACTCTATATTTATTCCTATAGTATAAGCGCAGCTGCTTGACGTAAGTCGTCTGGGGTCCTTGTGCAAAAGTATAACACGCCATTCTTTTTGGCTAACTATAATAAAAATATAAATTTGCTATTTTTTTGTCATGTGTGATTTAGCTACAACTCCAGTTAGATGTTTTTTCAAAATTTAACGAACCAACTACGGCAGAGTTTGATCGTACGTTGCAGACTGTATGTAAAATTGAAGAATTTTTCATCGCTAGACGGAAATCTTGAAGTTTCCATGTTGGTATAGCGCCAGTCTTCATTATAATATGTTATCAATATTTTAGTAGTTTTTTACATGATACTTCTTCTGTTATCAATAAACATACCTGTTGAGAATTTGTTATTGGTCTAGTGACGTCACATCCATTCATTAAAAGACCTGCTTTAATTATGAAAAGAGTTTCAAAAGTACAGCCTTTGGCATTTTCGACATGTTGTCGAACAAGGAAAAGTTATTACTGAATTGTGAGAATTGAAAAACATGGGTTTCTTTCCCGCATCTTATTTAGCTGGTTTAGCHGTCTTGTTGAGTGTCCAACACGGCGTCAGCTACTATAATCGTGAAGCAGGACTCCTGTTTGATGCTTATCCAAAACAAAAACTCTCTCTTCCAAACGGTGTGGATGGCGTTAAGCCGAACAAGTCAGTCAGTGTCAAAGACAAGATGGACTGTGTTTTTGCGTGTATCAACGTTCCCTGGTGTCGTTCGGTGAATTTCCAGACCACGCCCCTTAATAGCGGACTTTACTTCTGCCAGCTTTTATCGTCCGAGCAATTTGCACACAAGAAATACATGAAAAAGAACAGACTTTATCTTCACTACAGTGTTAAGGTAAATCATGATCTATTGAAAATCATACCATGCGTCACACGTTTCTTGCTTTTAGTGAATTTTACAAAGTACTTTTTTCTGAAAGTGTTTMTTTTTATTTTTTCTTAGTTATTTTTTTGTGTGCTCGGTAAACTTTACTTTCACATAAGACATTAACATTTTAGCTATTTTGTTGCTTATTCCTTTCTGGATCACGTAGTCACTTTGCACTCTTTGCTTATTTTTTTCGACTTGTAACCGCACCCTTTGCGAAAGCGTTTGGCAAACTCATAATACGCCACACTTCTTGGTTCTGTTTTGAATTGTACTCAGTACTTTTTTCTGAAAGTCTTTTTATTCTTTTTTTATATGCTCGATAAACTTCTCTTTTCTCATAAAACATTAACGTTTTATTCAATAATGTAGTCTTAATATACTACTGGGTTTTCTTTTCATTTTATTCAGTATTCCTTTTTCTGGAAGTTACTTTGCACTCTTTCCATAATTAATTTTTTCATCTTGTAACCGCACCCTTTGCGAAAGTGTTTGGCAAACTTTACTTTCCTCATCAAATATTTAGTGTTTTAGCGGCTTATGAAATACAGCGGGACTTTAATTAGTTGCTGTTTGTCTGAATGCTATTGGACTAGAGAAATAGTAGATTTCATTSTCGTTCCCAGACCTCTGTTTGGACTCGTATGTGTCTTGGTTTTGATTGGCTTAAAAAACACCATGCAACATTGGTATGCATATATCGTAGGACCCAGATTCTGTGACTTCCGGTTTTTCTCCAAACAGAGCCTTTTAATATCCGATAGGAAACTGAGGAGGGTCTGGGTAAGAGAATTTATAGAACGAGTACAAACTCTGTGCTAATCTTCTGTTATCTATTTTTCAGTTAGCAGTTGTTAACAGTGCAAAGTGTCGCACACMTTCAGTGTTTGTTCTTTATAATAAAAAGATGTGTGGTCTTCACGCTTTCGTCATTTTAATGTTATTTTCCATCTTCTTMAACTTAAGTAGATGTTCTTTTTCTCAATGTCAACAACGTCTTGTCCATTTATTTTTACATGGAGAAAGAACATTGATAAAATTAGTGCAAACTTCAATTAATCGCAGAGATATTTTATCAGTTTTTCGCTTGTTGATCGTGCCTCTCATTACGTGATCGGCTTGCTGCATGCCTTCCAGCGTGTCTGGCAAAGTCAATTTCTTCAATTTCAAACTTTTTTATATTTTATTTTTCAGAATCCTTGCCAAGAGAATCCATGTCGTAATGGCGGTAAATGCATTCTCCAAGACAACAGGCAAGAATATCAATGCAACTGCGCGAAAGGATTCAAGGGAGATCAGTGTGAGATAGGTAGACAACCTTGAATTGTTTTATGCTCGTTTTTCTTGCATGTTATTTATTTCATAATTTATTGGTTGCTTTAACTGATATTAGCTTATGAAGTACGCATTTGCATTGCTTAATTGACTTTTTTGCCCGGCTAATTTGTTAGGATCTCTGATCTCTATATTTTGGACCAAGCATAAATAAGAACTGCTTATAATAACTGTGCTGGTATATATTACTGACATTATTGCGTCTACCATTCATGTGTGAGCTTCAGGGGCGGATCTAGGATTTTTTTTAGGGGGGTGACTTTTGATTTTTTAAGAGTTAACATATTTAATTTTCCCGCCAAACGTACCAAAGCTCCGCGCCAATGCATGTGTGTTCTTAGATGCCCGAGACGCTAAAAAGTGTTAGTCCTTTTGAAAAGTGTTGTTTATCGAAATATCAACCAATTATTTCCCTATTTCCTTGATATGAATATTTTTATATTCAATTTATCCAGGAAAAAGGGGGGTGAACGTTCACCCAGTTCACCCCCACTGTATCCGCCCCTGAGCTTTATATTTAACCTTCAAGTTGTTCTCACGAATCCTCCACATCTCATTTCGGAATTATCCTCTTGTATTTTTTTTCCTTCCATCACAGTGTGGAAAATACATATTGTAGTGCATTGTTGTATGCTTTTAATT